CCGCAGGTGCGGTTGCGCAGTAGCGAGTAATGGTCCGCAGGTGCGAAAAGCCTGGGAAGAAACCATAAATAGAACCCTTCGCGAATTTGGTTTATTTCCACCATTTTCAAGTCGGTTTTTGGAGCTTTTGCAGTGATTTTCGAAAGGTGATTCAGGGGCTATCAGTGAAGTAAGTTTCTTGAGCCCTAATACTCGTATATATGGTGATTTTTCATTATTTAATTATGTAATTAGTGAAAATGAGGGGTTAGGGCTTGGGATTTTGGAAAGTTTAATTTAAGGATTTGAGGGACCAAATGATGTCGGATTTTGACAAATTTCATATGTATGGACTCGTGAGTGAATGAGATTTCTAGTTTTGTAAATTTTGTCGGATTTCGAGACGTGGGCCCGGGGGCCGAGTTTGAGCTAATTTTGGGTTTTGGGCTAATTTGATAGTGTTTCTTGTGAAATTCATTCCTTTAACATAAATTGATGGTATTGTACTGATTGTGAATAGATTCAGAGCAGTTGGAGACCGAGTCGAGGGGCAAGAGCATAGCTGAGTAGAGATTTTACCGGTTTGAGGTAAGTAGCAATTGTAAATCTAGTCCTGAGGGTATGCAACCTCGGATTTCGCATCATTCTACTATTTTGAGGTGACGCACATGCTAGGTGACGGGCGTGCACTGTTGGGGATTGTGACTTGGTCCGTCCCGTAGCAACTGTAAAGTTGCATATTTTATTGAAACTATATGATACTTATATGTTTTAGAAAGAGTTTTCTGTAAATTGGGTTGAATGTCGTGTTTGGGCCTTGTGCTAGTGCTGTTTGGACCCTTAGGGGCCTTTTCTTATTATCCTCTCATTTTTTTCGATTGAAAATATATACTCAGTCATGGTTATATTTGTTTACTGCATAACTCAGTTTTATTACTCTATTTTGATGCATATAAATGTTGTTTTGGGCTGAGCACCCTATTTTTACTGAAATGCCTGAGTGGCTTGAGAGGTTTATGACTGAGTGGGGCCGATGGCCTGATTTGTGAGGATATTTATGGAATCGGGCTACACGCCGCAGCATGTTTGATATAGGCCGAGGGCCTGAGTGATTTATGCCATGATTTGGCTTGATATAGCGCTTGGGCTGAAGGAGCCCCTCCGGAGTCTGTACACATCCCTATTGAGCGCAGGTACCTACTGAGTGCGAGTGCCGAGTGCTGAGCGATTGGGAGGCATGAGTGACTGTGAGGTTTGCCCGAGGGGCTGTATACGAGTGATTGTGAGGTATGCCCGAGGGGCTGTTGTTTATGATTTTATCATTTTTTGCTCACCTTTGAATTGAGCCTCTGTTTGAAATTGTTGAAAAATATCTTCAAATGATTTTACTAGAATTGGGTTTTAAACGAGATGATTTGATTCAAACACTGATTTTTTTGAGCGTGTTGTACTTTACTGAATTTTTGTGATATGAACTTGATATGCTTTATTGCTCGTCACTACTGCTCAGTCTTTATTTATTGTTACTTACTGAGTTGGCGTACTCACGTTACTCCCTTCACCTTGTGTGGAGATCCAGGTGTAGCTGGACATGGTAGCGTTTGTTGATTATTCTGGTTGCAGATTTTCTCGGCGATAACAAGGTAGCTGCTTGGCGATCGCAGCCCCTGCTCTTCTCCCTCCTATTTTTCTTTAGTTGTATTTAGCTATTTTCCAGACTATGTTAGTCTTGATATTGTTAGACAAATTGCAGTAGATACTCATGACTAGTGACACCCTGATGTCGGGCTTTTTGTTTTCGCACTTTTATTTTAATTTGAACTCCTTTACGAAGGTTTTTATGTTAAATGGCCTTGAATTTATCCTTGAATATAAGAATATCAGTTTGTTTTGAGCCTAGCCTTATCGGCCTTGAAGTTCCACGATAGACGCCATCACGACAGGGTTAATTTGGGTCGTGACAGAAAATAATACTCTATCAAAATTTCAATGTGTTGTTTGACATTAATCAAAGCATTAGATGTTCCAATATATAGCACAAGAAAACAAAACAAAAAAGAATTAAGGGATTTGAAGAAATTGAAGAAAAATAAAAGAAAGAAATTAGGAGTTGCTTAGTTTATGTCATGATTACACTATACATGTTAATCGAGCCGGGCTGACCCGTTTATAACCCGGTTCAGCCCGGGTCAGACCGGTANTAACGAGTTTTTAACGGGCTACAGCCCGGTTCAGCCCGTTTTTAATGGGTTTTCTCTTTTTTTTTTTGGACCGTTGCCGACGGTCAAATTCAAATATTGTAAATTATCCTACTATTGCAAATGGTTTAGTTCATATTGCTGAAATTTCTCTTTTACTACATAATTTGAAGAAGAAAGATGATATACTTCTGTTGTTGAATATATGCTAAATAAGTTTAAAAAATATTTCTACCTAATTCCCCCTATTTACCTAATTGGTACTATTTTAAACCCTTCTATCAAAATGGCCACTTGTCTCCAATTAATCACTGCTTTATATTCTTATATATTGGACCAACTGAAACTCCTGATATTGACACTTGTATTTCTGATCTACACAAACATTTAGAAATATTATATAATTATTATGCTAACATTGTTGATGCTTCTTCTGCTGTAGATGCAAATATTCCTTCAAGTTCAGTTTCAACATCTGGGACCAGTGCTTTGGATGATAATGATGGTGTTGAAGATTATTTGATTTGGTCTACACTAGGGGAGCATCAACAAACCAGTAGCAGAAATATTGATGAACTTCAATTCTACTTGCAAAAGTCAGCAGAGCCCCGCACAAAGGAATTTCTACCACTGGGTTGGTGGAGGAGCAACTCAAATCAATTTCCTGTTCTTTCGGCCATGGCTCGAGACGTGCTAAATGTGCCGATTTCAACAGTCGCATCAGAGAGCGCATTTAGCCAAGCAAGGCAGCAACTAGGAGATACCCGTCATTCATTGGGCAGCAACGCTTTGGAAATTCTAGTGTGCTTCAAAGATTGGATAAGATCAGAACGACGAAATCAAGGGCGTGACGAGGTAGATGAAGCGGAGGACCAAGAAATTGGAGATATAATGGTTTATGGTTCTGATTCAATCAATACCGGAAATCAAGAACCTCATGTTGACATGGATGAACTTACAAAAATGATGCAAAGCATGTGATGTACTATTTTTTTTTTTAAAATAATTGTTGTAAACTTTTAATTTGCAAGTTCAAAAATAACAAAATCAAAAAAGAATTTGCAACTTAATTTGAAGTATTATATATTATTCAATAAAAATATCAAATAAAAGTCTTCGAATCTTGATCCTTACATATTGTCTATTGGTCTTATTAAATAATTTTTTGTAGCCACTTACTTTCAAATTTTAATTTTAAAATTATAAAATTCAAATTTCAAATTTAAAACTTTAAACTTCAAAGTTTAATTCTATGCCTTAAAAGTTTGCAAACACTTAAGTATCAATAACATTGAATAAGAAAAATAAAATTTACTTTAAAAAATAAAAAATTATACGGCCCGATCCAGCCCGCTAAGCCCGAACCCGGACGGACAAAAAAAAACTCGAAAAAGTACAGCCCGCTAACAGCCCGCAATGTTAAACGAACGGGCTAGTTTTTTTTGTGTCCAGCCCATCCCAGCCCGCCCGTTAAACACCCGTAGATTACACTGAAATTTAATATAAAAAATTTTAGTGCAAGGATTGGTTTTGCATCAAATGGCGTTTTTATTCGAAAAATAATAATATGGGAATTATTATTATTAATTCGATTGATTATCTTATATTTTTTATATTTAAATACTCTTATGTATTGCTAATAAATATATTTTTATTTATATTATTTGACGCATAAAATAATACACATAATCTCACTTAACTTATTATGCAGGCATTCAATAGAAAGCTTAAAAAAATAAACCACAATTATTTTTTCTTGTACCATCAATCAAAATATTGTAGTAGTAACTAGGGGTGTCAGTGGTTCGGTTCTGCCGATTATTTTATAAAATTTGCACCATATCAATTTTTCGGTTATTCTATTATATATAACCAAAAATAGACTTTTCGAAACCGTCCCAATCATGCCGGTTTCTCTTCGGTATCGGTACATTTCGGTTAATTTTCGATAATTTTTTTTAAATGTCATGTAAAAGTCACTAGTAGAAGTAGAATGCAATAACACACGTATTTTTATAGAACTTAGCAAAATTCTCTCGACATTCTTACAATTTAAAAAGTAATGAATTAAGAAAACATGAAAGATGGTTAGAGTATAGATCCATCAACTATTCTACAATAACGTAAAAGAAACTACACAAATACAATATATTAACCAAGATGAGACTCAGAATAAAGTCTATAGAAGATTAAATATTCAAAAAGATAAATCTAAATCATGCGAAAGGAAACATATTCAATACATTGTAGTTTGTTACTCATAACTGCTACAATACCTTGTGTCTTGCTAGTGAATATGCTGGAAATAATTTAGTTTCAATAGGATTAGCATAATAGGTTTGGGAATTAGGATTTTAAGTTTAATTACTTGTTGGCTTGTAACTGTTTCATAATTCCAAGGCCCGAGAAAAAATTTAATGCTTTATTATTTTAAACTTAATATATAAATATAATTTTTACATTGTAAATTTATTCGGTACGGTTCGGTATTTTTTCGTTTTATTTTCATAAATAAAAAACCTACCCTAATTAGCAGTACTGTTATAGATTTAAATAAAAACCTACAGTTTTATTAAAAGAAACATAAAAATTAGTTCGGTACAGTACAATTTGGTCGGTTTAATCGATTTTTAAATATTCATTGACATCCCATTCTAGTAACATTAGCTTATACAAATTTTTATGTTGGGATTATTTGTTAGTGTGGTAAACCTCCCTCTAAAAATCAAAAAGACCAAAATGCCCTTATGTTTCTCCACGGTGGACTGGTGGAGGAAAACGTTATCCATACGGATTAATATTCAGCCACAACCAATGAAGGAGACAACACAAGCCACCCGAATGAGAAAAAGAAACAGAAACAAGAACTTTCTCATGCACAGAATCTTCTCTCTTATCTCACCATTTCTGATCTCTTACTATGGAAACCATTCTCTCCCCTCCTTCTCTTTGTCCTCTCTTCAACCCCAAAACAGCTTCCCTTTCAAAGCCTTTTCTTCCCCTCTCTCACTTACCTAGATCAAGTTCAATAAGTTCAGCTAAGCCAATTTGCTGCAGCCTCAAGAAACAAGCTTCCAAGATTGACAAAGACTCATCTTTTTCAATACCCAAAAGTTGGTTTTCCAGTGTTCAGCAAGGATTAGCTGCTGTAGCTATTTCTTTAGCCCTCAATTTTTGTCCAGTTGTGTTATCTGGTTCTGCATTGGCTTCTGAATTTGATGTGCTAAATGAAGGTCCTCCAAAGGACTCCTATGTGGTCGATGATGCTGGTGTACTTAGTAGGGTGACAAAGTCTGATTTGAAGGCATTGTTGTCTGATGTGGAGAAGAGAAAAGGCTTCCACATTAATTTCATCACTGTCCGCAAACTCACTGTAATTTTCCTTCTCTTCTTTATCTTGTCATTAGAAGCCACACCATGAATTAGACCATGATTAGAAAAAAAATCAATCTTTATGATGCTTTTCTGCTTGATTTGCTGTTAAACTTAAAAGTTTTCTCATAAATCCTTTGTGAAACTTAAGTGCTGGTAGGCCTAAACCTGTAAATTANCGAGTGTTGAGCAAGGAAATGACAAGGGTATAGTTGTGCTCATTACAAGTCAAAAGGAAGGCGCGATAACTGGTGGTCCTGAATTTGTAAAGGCTGTTGGAGACACTGTTCTTGATGCTACTGTCTCAGAGAACCTTCCAGGTAGGCAACACTTCCTTTCTATTCCTTATTGTTTTGGGCGTGTTGATTGATTTTGTCATGGAAATTGATTTCCAACTGAATGGATTATTGGCAAGAAGTAAGAATAACAATCTTGGTAGGACATGAATTATAGTACAGAGAATTAGAATATGAGAATATTACTTTGCATAGATGCTACTAGGTTAGAAAAGTCTAATGCCCTTCGTCAACATTAACAATGGCATTTAAACAATTTAGTGAGTTTGATAAATAGTCTACCGGAAACAGCCTCTCTATCTTCATAAGGTAGGGGTAAGATCTGCGTACACACTAACCTCCGCATACCGCACTTGTGGGATTACACTGGGTTTATTGTTGTTGTTGTTGTTGTTGTATTGAGTTTGATAAATGCTTGATTTTCTAACCTTAGGTCTTAGCTGCTAGAAAAGCTGTTTCCTTGTCATGTCTATGGAGTTACAAATAGTACCTAGAAACACAAACTCCAAAAGAGTTGCCTAGTTGTTTATATATTCGTAATGATCTAGAGACAATCTAATGGAGGAATGAGGATTTTTCCTTATTAGTTATTCAGTTTATGCAATAAGAATTGTTTAACAAGAATGATTCTAGTTGGATGGCAATGACATGTAAACATGCAAGAAATGGAAACATATCCATTTCTCCCGACTCTTTTTTTTTTCCCTTTAAACTTCTCTGAGGAGCATATTCTATTGTAGCAGGATTTGCTTCTCTGCTATTTTGTCATGAGAATTGTGGCAAATTTTCCTTCATTCAAGGAATCTTTTTATAACATGGACCTGCTAGGTATGTATGCATTAAGATAGTTTTTGTGGTCCAATTAAAGCGCCAAGAAGGTTGAAAGTCTTTGACTTGAAGTTTTGCTGGAGAATACCCCTTCATAATCTTGAATATCATGACCAAATAAAACAAAAACTACAAAGGTCAGGTATCAACTTTGATTGTTATGTTGTATTTCGAGATTAACAACAAATTACCAGTGCTGCTAATAAAGGCGAAAAGACTAACTAATGGCTTGAAATCAGATCTGAGTAGCTAGATTCCACAACAAGCGGGAGGTATGACGAGTAGTTTTTTGAAGAGTGAATTTGATCCTATATTTGTCATTTTTGTTTGAAAAATGCACGCTGGAAAAGGATGCTTGTCAGCTTATCGACTAAGAGATCAGACCACTCATGTTGTTTTAACTAGTCATTAACGGTAGGGTTAATTAGTACTCTTCCGGTATGTGTTGCAAAATAAATGGTGGTTAAGAAGTCATTTCTTGCTACTGCTATCTACTTCGCGAGCTTTCAGTGCTCCATTCTTTAACTTCCCTTTTTAGTTGGTCCATGGGGCTTATGAATATTCATTAAATTGGATTACACTTTTAAGAGGCAACCTTGCTTAGAAGTTAAAAGAAGAAAGTGTAAGGTCTCTCTATTTCAGTTGTATAAAAAGGGCAGCCCGGTGCACTAAGCTCCCGCTATGCGCGGAGTCCGGGGAAGGGCCGGACCACAAGGGTCTATTGTACGCAGTCTTACCCTGCATTTCTTCAAGAGGCTGCATTTCAGTTGTAAATAGAGGAGAATTAGACTCCAGAACAATTATCTTTTGTTTCATAATGAAACTTGTACACTAATGCTCTTGTTTCTGATGGTGAGGCTATTGGTTTCAATGTTTGTAGTCTTGGCTACTGAAGAGAAGTACAATGAAGCAATTTACAGCACTGCCAAACGTCTTGTTGCTGCCATTGATGGCCTTCCTGATCCTGGGGGTCCCCAGCTCAAGGATAATAAAAGAGAATCCAATTTCAAATCCAGAGAGGAAACAGATGAGAAAAGAGGACAATTCACACTTGTCGTTGGTGGCTTGTTAGTGATTGCTTTCGTTGTTCCCATGGCTCAATACTATGCATATGTTTCAAAGAAGTGAACTGTCTGATTCTGGAAGATTTCATTTTGACTTGAGTAAGCATGTATATTATCTTGTACAAATGGTCTATTTTGAAATGACTGATTCATGAGAAATTTTAAAAAGGATAAAAATGAAAATTTTGGACCTCCCCTAACATAAGGGATATTACCATTTCTTTTTATGAGAGTAGAGAAACTTCCCTGTTGCATAGCTGATAATATAAAGGGGGATTTAGTGTGGTACATTTCATCACATGATCGACAAGCTGTTCTGTATTTTCAGGCATTCATGGAAGTGATGAATTTCATTAATAAATCAGAATATATAAGTACTATACAGAGAATAAAACAATGACAAGCATGTTAATTCCTCAAAACTTCAGTTTAAGAAGGAAAGGCATCTTGTCTGCAAAGGGTGGATCGGAGTATTTTCCGGTGAGAATTTGTGAGGCAACCAACTGATTTGCAGTTTCTGTGTAGTGAATTCCATCCCAATTGATATATTCACTACTGTCATTGCATGCTTTGGCCGTGACATTGTTTCCATCAACCACCTTTGTCTGACCACAGGCAACCCTGCTGTCATAGTTGAGTGGAGGTCCTCCATATCCACAGCAAGCCATTAAGGGCTGCTCAAATCCTGCAATACATAAAAGCAAAAGATCAAATGTTAAATAAAGTTCATATGATATCGATGAAGGAACAATATTACCAACTTCATTTATTTCTCATAAATTCTAAAATCCCAAAGAAATTGGACACTATAATTTCTCCTTTTTTTGCATTGTGAGTAAAGAAAATTACCATATCGGGAATTATTTGCTATCAGATTAGACTTGATGGTGAAAATATCGACATGAGTGATATTTGCATCTGTATACTGGCCCTGCAGCTTCTTGCAAAGAGCGTAAAGCTGCAGGTTCAAAATTTTTGCAGCTTGATTATGTGAGCTAACACATCCTAGTTCATCCAACTTTGATGCATCAGTTCCAAATTTGGCTATATTCTGACCTAAGCAACCCAAAGGACCGGTGTTATGAACCCAGAAATTCCTGGCTCCTAGGTCATACAATCTCTGTGATGTCAAAAATGAAGCGGAAATAAGTTTAGAGCTTCATTTCATAAGCACTACAGGAGTTTTGCATAATTTTCTGTTATTAGATTTGACCTTGACACCATCTTCAAATTCTACAAGAATTGTTGGAATTGAAGCTAGAATTTGATCCAATGTCTTGGAATAAAATCCACCAGCAAGATCATTCTGGCCTATATCGAACATATAAAGACCTTTCTGGAAAAAATCTTGAGCTGGAACATACTTATCATATTTTCTGGCTGCAAAGAAAATCAATAAAATCTCACAAGATATAGGATTCTGATGTTATGAAAAAGGGGTTCTGATAATCAAAACATGACCAAACTTACTCTTAGCTTGGATTTCGAGAACCCGATTCTTGAACCTGAAAAACTGAGCAACTTGAATCCCAAATGAAAAAGGGCTAACAGATGATGCAGTGGCAGGAAGTATGGTTGAACCAGCAGCTGCAAAGTTAGCTCCTTTTCTGAAAGTTGGTGCACCAATGGAATCCAAATAGGAGTTCAAGAATGGCAGGTCCATTGCATCCACTGCAACAAAAATGCATAACAAAAAAAGAAAACCAGAATATCAATATAAACTTGAAATGAAGACCATCTCCCCAAAAAATAAAAAGAATGGCACATTAAATTGGGAAGCTTACTCAAGAAATCGATGATTAGCCGGCCATCACAGAACCTCCCAGATGGTTTCTGGAAATAAGTCTGTCCATTAGGTGGCTCCAGGCGATCACCAACGCCTGCAACAAGCCCTCCTGTATCAGAATTTGAATCACCAAAGTTGAAGACTGCAGGGTAATCGAAATCTATGGTATTGGCCAGGGGAAAACAGATGAAGAAGAGGGCAAGAATGTGGAGAAAACAAGTGGTTGAAGAAGCCATGTTTGTTGCCCCTTTGACAGAAAAGTTGGATTTTTCGTCCTCTTAAAATAAGAGCTGGTGAGCTTTTGTTTCAATTTCAAGTTATCTTTGAGATGTGGGAAAGGTTAAAAGATTGTGAATTGGTTGTTGTTCAATTACTTACATATCCTTCAAAGATAATGGATGCTATGATTAGAAGTATTTCTATTAAGGAGAAACAGATTGATTAGGACACTTTCCCTGTAATCAATCAGGTAACAATTGTCCTTTTCTATGTTATTTTATCTAACCACTGATAAGTGATAAAAATACTCGGCTGAGAAAAACTGGCGATATAGTTATGTGACTATGACATTTTAGAATGTCAGTGCATTCATTTCAGATGTCATGTTTTACTCAATCTTGGTCAGGCATGTACATTTGAAAGTTGCTTGTCTTCAACGTATCTCTATGAATAACATTGTCGTTTCCTTTTTTTCTTGGCTTCCCAAGTGTAAGATAGTGTAATCTTTCTACTTTTAAACATAAGGTGGATCTAAATTGAGAAAATAATGAAGAGTACGAGCATTAGGTGAAGGGCCAAACATGTTTCAGTAAACTACTAAAATAAGTCTGCCAACTCTCCGCATGTGATCTATACTTATTTAATCTGAGCTTAGTTAGAATGATTGACATGCATACAATATATTTCTCTAACCATAAGTGGTATTCTATACTTCTTTATAAAGTTAGTTTACATTTATATTTTACACTGTTACGACCCGACCGATCGTTTTGAGTATTACAGCCCCGTTCCCCCATTTACTGCTCTATTTGTGCCTTATAGCTGTATTAAGACCTATTGGATTAGTTAGTTTGGGTTCGGAGAGATTTCGGAATGAATTGAGACACTTAGTCTCATAATGGAAAGCTTAAGTTGAAAAGGTCGATCAGATGTTGATTTATGTGTAAACGACCTCGGATTTGAATTCTGATATTTCTAGTAGCTCCGTATGGTGATTTTGGACTTAGGAGCATATCCGAAAAATTATTTGGAGGTATGTAGTGGAATTAGGCTTAAAATGACGAAAGTCGATTTTTTTTTGGGAAGTTTGACCGGGAGGTTGACTTTTTGATATCGGAGTCAGAATCTGATTCTGGAAACTGGAATAGCTTCGTTATGTCATTTATGACTTGTGTGCAAAATTTGAAGTCATTCCGGATTGATTTGATGTGTTTCGACACAAGATATAAAATTTGAAAGTTCAAAGTTCATAGATTTTGATTTGAGGTGTGTTGTCGTTTTGATGTTGAAAGTTCAAAATTATGGGACTTGCTGGTATGTTCAGACGGGGTCCCGAGGGGCTCGGGCATGTTTCGGATTGATTTCACACTTTTTTTTTCATGTTGTTATTGATGGCTGCTGCTGGTTCTGGTGTGACCGCACCGACGGCTGGTTTGCGCAGGTACGATGGTCGCAGAAGCGACAAAGGAGCCGCAGATGCGGCCAGGAAGGCTTTGGACAGAGGCCGCATATGCGGACATGCGCGCGCAGAAGCGCGACCGCTGATGCAGTTTGCACGTCGCAGATGCGAGCTTCTTGCGCAGAAGCGGAGGTCGCAGATGTGGCTATTCGCCCGCAGATGCGGAAGGCGCTAAGTTCGGGGTTTCGCTATTTTTAGCCATTTTCGAATTTTGGAGCTCAGTTTGGGTGATTTTGGAGAGGAAATTTTTCACACAACTTGGGGTAAGTGTTCTTGACTCCCTTGTGATTATATTCCATGAATTAATCTTCGTTTTCGACATTAGATTATTGATTTCTCAAGAGAAATTGGAGGAATTTTCTACAATTTCATTAAAGGAATTTCCAAGATTTGAACATCGATTCAGGGTCGGATTTGGGTGAAATTAGTATGGTTGAACTTGTAATTGGATGGGTTGTCGAATTTTGTAAGTTTTGTCGGATTCCGAAATGTGGGCCCCATAGGCGATTTTTTGGAGTGTAATTTCAGATTTTGTGTGAAAATATTAGTATTTTGATATGGAATTAATTCCTATAATTGTGTGGACTGAATCAAATTTATTGTGGCTAGATTCGAGCCGTTCAGAAATTGATACGCGGAGAATGGAATTTCTGAAACAGTGTTTAGCTTGCTCGACATTGGATTCATCTTGTTCGAGGTAAGTAACTCTTCTAATCTTGGAGCAAAGGGTATGACCCTGATTATACGTATTATGTGTTTGGTGTTGAGGTGACGCATATGCTAGGTGACGGGCGCGTCGGCATGCACCGTGTGAACTGTGACTTTGTTATTCCTGTGGTACTGTGTAGTTACCTGAACTTCTCTGTAATCATGAAATCTCTACGTACTAGAGTTATCGAGCTGTGATTCATGTTAGAAATCACATCTAGGCTAAATGCTTATTCTGTTGGGACCCATTGAGGTCGTTATTGCTGTTGAGTTATTTGCTTACATTGCAATTTCATACTCAGTCATGTTCATTCATTTCATATCATATCTCAGTCTCTGTTGCTACATATTGACACATTAGATCATCATTTTGGGCTAGTTTCCTGACATTATGAGCCCGAGAGACTGGAGAGATTGATGACTGAGTGAGGCTGAGGGTCTGACTGTGAGGATATTGATACCATGGCACGTTAATTGTCCGTGCAACACGTGAGTTGTCCGTGCGGATCCAGATATTGATATTATAGCACGTGAGTTGTCCGTGCAGCACGTGAGTTGCCCGTGCGGTTTATAGCGCTTGGGCTGAAGGAGCCCCTCCGGAGTCTGCACACACCCCCAATGAGCGCGGTTGATATTATTGATGGATGGATCTTCCTTGGACATGGATCTTGTCTGAAGCATTATATACCTGGAGATGGATCTTCTCCACGGGCTGGATTGGCCCTACTCAGTACTGAGTGACTGATGATAAGTTGATATGTATATTCCTGGATGGATCTTCCCTGGGCCGGATTGGCCATATACAGTACCGAGTGATTGGGCATGATGAGTGGAATGTGTGAGAAAGTGAGATTGAGTACTCTGAGAGTGTGAGTACATGAGTTCATCTCTGAGATACATTGCATTGACATGCACACATGACATACAAGCATAGAGATGTATTTTTCTCATGTTGTACGGTATGACGTCATTCATGACTTCTCACACATGTTGACACATGGGCATAGTGATGCATCTGTTTTACACTGGCTATCTAGAAAGAAAATGAAACATCTTATTTATTATTGAAAGAATTTTTGGAAAAATTACTATTTTCAAACTTACTCATATTTTTGGCAACTTCGGAGAACGATTTGGGTTTTCACTGATATACTTGAAAGGCAGAACTATTTTCAGAAATCATGATTAAGCTGAGCATTTTATCTTTGAGTTACTTCTTTTATTACTTGCGTTATGTTGTGATGAACTGTTGTTGGTTATTGGAGTTGGACTTTGACCTTGGTACAAGCTCGTCACTACTTTCAACCTAAGGTTAGGTTTGTTACTTATTGAGTACATGGGGTCGGTTGTACTCATACTACACTTCTGCACCTTGCTTGCTGATGTTGGTTGCTGATGTTGCTGTGTTCGTTGGGAGCTGGATCTGAAGATGTACCTGCGTTCCGGTTGTAGCTGTCTCTTGTTCATGCTAGCCTTAGATTCATAAAACTCTGTTTATGTAATTTTCAAACAAATGATGTATTTACTTCATACCAGCTTTGTAAACTCTGTTTTTAGAAGCTCATGATTTGTACTACCAGTTCTTGAGGAATGTATCAGATTCAGATATTTCTTTACTTAATTGCTTTATTAATTGTTATTGGAATTGATTAGTAGTTAACTGGCTTACCTAGCGGGTTGGGTTAAATGTCATCACGACTAGTTGGATTTTGGATCGTGAAATACACAGTCAATGAAAGTCCTGTTATATAGATAAACTCAAAAAAGATTAAGAATAAGGGCATTTTTGGCTTAAAGAAAATATTGCTTGAAAACAAATTTGAGTAATGTGAAAAATAGAAATATCAGAAGGCAAAGGCAAATGGGACCAAAACGCTTCAATTCCTTTTTACAAGCAAAATTGGAACTTGCTTCCACGAATAGCAAACTTTTAAGGCTTCTGTTACATGTCCACAAAAAGAAAGTGCACCAATCTAAGGTGGTGTTTGTTTCAAAAATTTGAAGATTTTTTGCAAAAGTTATTTTTTAACCAAAAGCCAAAAATAAAAAAAGCATTTCAGATTTTCGGTTTCTATATAAGCGGACCACCTAAATTCTGCAAAATAATATCAAAAGCACGTCTTTTTTGGCTGGGGAAATCAGTCCAACTAAACCGAAGATCAAATAGCTCTTTGCTATCACCCAAATTTCTGACTCCCCTTAATTCATAATTCATTTTAGGAAGAGATCCTATATATTTGGCTTCGGATTTATATTTTGACGAGACTATTTTCAACTCAACATAAAGTGAATTACCATTTACCACGTAAGCAAATAGATCATTCTTTAGTCTTTACAAAGCGGGTTAATCGTTCAAAGATTAGGGTCATCGATGTAAAAAGTGTTTTATGCCTAAATCAGTTAATCTGATTGAAACGAAATTCACCTTGTTACTGCGTAAGAGTTTTTTCACAAGAAGTTTTCATAATACAGCTGTTTTACCGTTAGAAACACTTTGCATGGTTCAATGCGAGATGGAAGATGATAATGTGATTGGTCAGTAAGCCAACAAAAAGACAAACAACCTTTTTGTTTTTTTATGAAGACAAACAACCTGCTACCTTTTATGGTTGATTAACAAAAGCACCAGACGCCAAACAACCTAGCTAATATCGATTATTTGATATAGAAAATTTTATCTCTTGTACCAAATGTATACACCCTATTTATTATAAACTAAAATTATTTTAAAATATTATTTTCTATAGCTACTTTTTATATTTTATAATAAAATAAGTATTTTATGGTATATACTACCATTGAGGCATGAAATAAGCCATGAAATACGCTATTTATGTTTTTCCTCTCTTAGACAACCGGACATACCTATTTTTAAAGGATTGTCGTTATTGTATTCATGAATATATGGCGCGAATACATGTGAATATATGCGCGTACAACTGTATTCATGAATACAACATCACGAATACATGTGAATACATGCGCGTACAACTGGACTGCCCTGATTTTAGGCGCTTTTTGCTGATGTATTCATGAATACATCAGCAAAAAGCGCCTAAAATCAGGGCAGTCCAGTTACGTTGTACACGCATGTATTCACATGTATTCGCGCCATGTATTCATGAATACATGGCGCGAATACATGTGAATACATGCGCGTACAACTGGACTGCCCTGATTTTAGGCGCTTTTTGCTGATGTATTCATGAATACATGGCGCGAATACATGTGAATACATGCGTGTACAACGTAACTGGACTGCCCTGATTTTAGGCGCTTTTTACTGTTATATTCATGAATACAGCAACGCGAATACATGTGAATACATACGCGTACAGCAGGACTGCCCTGGTTTTAAGCATTTTTTACTATTGTATTCATGAATACATGGCGCGAATACATGTGAATACATGCGCGTACAGCTGAACTGCCATGATTTTAGACGCTTTTTGCTGCTGTATTTATGAATACAGCAGCGCGAATACATGTGAATACACTACCGTAACAACTGAATAGTAGCTATACGAAGTAATTATGTATATGGTAGCTTTTTGGAAGTTAATAGCCACTACACAATAGTGGTTTCTGAAAATTGCTATTTGATATATTCATGTCTTAAACGCCGTCTTTAAAAATGAAGGTCCATTATTACAATCAGAGAATCAAGCAGAGCGGCCTTCTTTCGAGTTGATGTAGATAAGACTCTTCTGAAGCTTTCAAGCTGGCCTTAAGAGCGGCATTCTCCCTCTTCAACTGCAAAATGATTCATACGGCACAATCAAAATGAAGCTCTATAGTCATTAGGAAAACTCGCCTCGTAAAAGAATAATGCGATTGAGTGGGAAAAGCTTTTGGATGGTTTTGACTCGTCACTCGTCTCCATGATCTAAATAGAGTTCTAATCATATATTTCTAAAATACTTACCTACATATTTTTCTTGCTGGTTCTACCATACATTAGTTTCGTCCAATTGATAATGTTCTCTAAAACAGTATGTGAATCATAAACTATTACTTATATAACATCAATCTTCTGCTCGTATTTATTTAATTAAAAAAAAAGGGAAGGTAAAACATGCGAAGGATTTTAGTCATTTTACTACTACTAAGGAAATCATACATAGTTCTCTAATTTTCTCAATTTCAGGCTTTCAGTCTTCTTTAGGTATAGTTGGTTCATTCTTTTCAAAAATCCCGCAGAATCTTCTACCAAAAAGTGTTTAAGTCAAAAAATATATGCAGAACTCCTTCCTAACCTACTCATTGAAGCCTTTGCCGAGTAAGAAATCTTTCTGGAAATATCCTTCCAAAGTACTCCAGCAAACACACTAGCATTTATAACAAGCCGATGCAGAGGAGCTTTTAATGCCAAAAAGAACTTCTGGCAAAGCTCAGTTACCCCTAAGTTTTTTTTTAATCTTTTTCTTATTCATTAAATAACAGCACAAATAAAAGGAAATCAGTGAAATCAAACTGAATAGAACCCTATTAATTTCACAGTGAATTTCCAAATCATGGATCTCTTACCTTCTCCGCAACTGTACTCAGCTCTACCACGGTTTTATATAATGATGAGATTGTCCTTGACGTAATATCTTCATATGCAGCTTCTATCTCCTCAACTGAATTGGGATCATAGAAAATCCCCTCCAGTACAAATAATTCCTCAAGCAATTGAACATCTTCGGCAGTCATTCTCACTCTCAGCTATGTAAATAAGATATTAGCTTATACTAGAGTAACCAAGGATAGCTTAAATTACATGAATCAAGAAATTCAGACCTTGGCCAATATCCTCTCCCTGGACTCATCTCCATTGGTTGAGACGGTTGCTTCCTTGTTATTGTCTAGATCTTCCTTGCAACTAACATGTACTGATGCCTTTATATGCTTTGCTCTGCTTGAAAAGACAGAAAGTAGAACTCAGAGCCATACTGGAGGTATTTTATAAGTATCAGCGAGCACCAAATAGCATTACTTTTTAGATAAAACTAGATCAAGCCACAAATGAGAGAGAGAGAGAGAGAGAGAGAGAGAGAGGAGAGAGAGAGAGAGAGAACAGATTTGGGGTTTTTGGTGAAAGAAGATACATATTTTCAGTTTTGAATAATCACTATGATATGAATATTTCCGATTGTTTGTAGCTTTTGTGAAAGTACACCTTTCACAAGTAAAGAAGTTCTGCATTCTACAAAGAGAACCATATGTAGAATTTATTGTTGTAATTTTTGGTGGAATCCTTGTTCAAACATCATTAATAATTAACAGATCCATGCTGCACTACCTAGACTCATTGATCATTCACAGTACCATATCCAGTCAATGCCAAATGAAGTTTCCTAGATGCAGATACATTGCTAGCTAGACATGATTGGCTGATACAAAGTAAACTAACATGAGGACAAATTGATGAAAGAAAAATAAGAGCAAAAGCAATATTCTGGAATGTAAATTGGAGGGACACGAAAACAAGATAAAAACTACAATGGCAGCATGTGCCTTTACCTTACGGGATCACAATAAAGGAAATAAACAAAGTTACTCTAGTGAAAGTAATACTAAAATGAAATCCCTAAATTCCATTTAAGTGTAGAGCTAGCTAATAGAGGTCTTTACATAATTTCCTCTATCTCCTTTTGTGCGTTATGTCCCTCATTATTCCCTTCTTGACACCATGATAACAAGTTTAAAGAAAACTAATTTTACATACCTAGCACCGAATCGCAGGGTGGAGAGGCTCTCTGAAGCATTGTAAGGGCTTGGAGAGCAACAGCAAAGTAATGCAGTCTGAGAGTATCCCCCCTGCGAAAAACAATGTAGATGATCATCATGTAGGCTGGAACTTGGAAGTATGGTGAAAATGGAGCTTAGGAAGCGAAACCAACAAGAGAATCTTGTAGGATCCGAGTGAGCTTAGAATCACGATAAGGAATATGAGTTGGCTTTCCTGGAGCACTGCTAGTCATAGCATTTATCACTTTCCCAAGTGCTGTGAGGGACTGATTGATGGTCTTTGCTTCTTCAAGAATTTTACCTTCAGCTCCAGTCTTATCAACTTTTTCAGACCCAGCCAAGTCGACGAGTATCAGCTTTCCAAATTTGGTCCTGCTTGGAAATTCAAATATTTTGGATAGATCTTTCAAGTATATCAAACCTATTGAGGGATAATACCTTTTATCCTTTGTCAGCTCCTGGTGGACAGTAAATATGTAAAGGCAATGGCTTCTGCTGCTCGACATATTCATTTCTAGGATAGTTAAATTTTCCTAACAAAGAATAAACAGAATAGAGACGTAAAAGGAAGAGTTTTCTTAAGACAAGATGCACAGAAAGAGCTAAGGATACGTGTTTCTCCAACTGCCCTATTAGCTATCCCACTCTGCATCATGAACAGCCATATTAGTAGCAAAGTATATAAAACACCTCATATGGAAATTTATTGTCTCCTTTTCCCTTACAGATAAATTTTGTAGTGCTTCTGCAGAGTCGGATATAGCTACCTGGAAAAAAATTAAGATTCTGGAGGCTTTAGAAATTTCCAAGGATCATAAAAGAAATTTAGAGACAGATATACAGCTTTTGAGTTGTGAATCAAGGACAAATAGATTTTCTTTCATAAATTTGTTGTTTCTGAAAGTCAAAGAATTCAGCACTAAGGCCATATCAGGCTTCCGACATGTCAGCCATAGGAAGTGGATATATTTAGAACTTTTGCACGTGGAAAAGCACAAGATTGCTGAAGGCAATCCAAGCTAAATCCAAACTGAAAATACCAAGTTATGTTGAGCATACTACATGCTTGAAAACTAAAACAGTACAGCTATTTTGAGGAAAACGTGGAACAACAAGAGGGCGTTAATGAATCTTACTTCTGTTGCTCCACTTAGAATTATTCCGTGTACTTTGCTCTCTTTTATCTGTATATTGTCCTTCGATAAATCAAGCAGATCCCTGAGAGAAATTGACAACTTAAAGCCATGCTTATGAACAAAGAGATATTGGGTTAAAGCAATAGACGCGGATCAAGAAAATCTCCTCAGGTAAAAGTGCTGATAAGTGACACAAACCTTACTTTCTCCATGTAGATCTCTACCTGTAAGAGTCAGAAATTTGCTTAAAATAGCTTTTATTCCTTGATGACTAAGAGAGACGCATTGCACTCTCCATATAAAAGGTCGAAATCAATAACAATAGAATCAAGAATTAATAGATTGTCACCATTGATAATTTGATTGTGTATTTGATTGGTTTCTCCGAATTCATTATGGCCATAAAAAGCCCATCCACTACCCTCTGCAATAGTCCTTTGTTCTTGCTTTCACAATCTAGAATGCTTGGTCCCTAAAGCCAACAGAGTTGACAATGAACTAATACTTTCATAAAACGCAGAATCATGAATGTTGTAAAATCATTTTACCTCCATGCTATATGTCTTTCCTGCTCCGGTCTGAGAAAGAAACAAAAGAACAAAGAATAGTCAAAACATGAAAGTACGGAAAAGAAAAGAAGAATTTTCTCCTCATATCAATCACTAACAATTATTTAGAAAATACACAGAACTTCTATACTTTTTATTTTATATTTTCATAATATTGGCAAAAGATGAGTTTAAATGGAGTAACGTTGTCCATGGAAGATTCATATAGCCAACCTTGACTTGTATGAGACTGAGGCATAGTTATATTAACCACTAACAAATTACTACAATTATCCACTAGGATTTGAGTGTTGTCTTCGTTCTTATCCTTCTACAGTTGATCCCTTAACAAATCAGATGCAGTATTTGTACTGAAAATCTCCAATTCACATATAAAAACGCAGCATGCTAACATAAAAGGCTGTAATCAAACATTTACCTGTCCGTAATTGATAATCGTACCATTTATTGCATCTACAGCACCTAATTTCAAATCCATCCAAACAACGAATATTGTAAGTGAAAAGAGTAACTGGATTTAAAACTAGTTCATTTGTTTATAATGACTCTCACAAAATTCAATTCGTACCTTGGACTATAGGCAGAGCTAGAAATTCATATATATCAGCTTGTTCAGATCCTTGATAGAAAACTCTGTCGAACGTAAAATCAAATTCCTGTTCCTTTTCATCCTATAATGATCGAACAAAATCAACTAAATCACAAAAACCACATTCTAAATTGCTAATGTGAAAATTTAGTACTACAATTCCAACTTTTTGCGATACATACACGAGTTCAAAATTGATGTAAGATTAACAGAGTTTTGAGCTACAAAACCTTGATTACGAAGGACTCAGAGGTAATGCCTTGAACAGAGACAGCATCGCGAAACTCAGAGAGTTCCTTCGAATTCAGAGGTCTGAACAGCGCGCAAACTTTCATATTCGACATTGTTGAGCTGATCAACAATCAATTTGCAAAAATTCAATCTAAGTATATATTTGTTTGATGAACAAGCTATGAAGGTTTTCCCGCCAAAAAAGCTTGGGATGCCACTGAGCTGAAGGAAGTGATTTGAGAACAGAACTAGAATGGGGAGAAACGCTTTCGGTATGTACTTAATAGATTTGGTTTTTCCTTTTTTGTTTTTTATTTTTAAAAACTTGTTACAGTCGAATGGTTACTGTATTCACTTGTAGTTATCAAAATGTGACATAATTCTGTAAATATTTTTTATACTCTCAACCCGTTGAACTTAAGTTCTTTGTAAATTTATTTAAGATTTAAACCAAATTAATCCATTCATCTCAAAGGTAAATATTATGAGTCCGGAACCAAAGTGTGGCTCTTTTGGACTCAAAAGATATAAATAGGTAAAAAAAAAAAATTGTGTATCATTTTATATATAGCGCGGTTATTCACCGCGCTATACCTTAACGATACGTTTGCCCGTTAAGGTATAGCGCGGTGAATAACCGTGCTATATATAAAATGTCCTGCCCCACCAATAATTCTTCTGCACTTAACTGACCACCAATAATTTATATGGGTATAGCGCTTATTATGTATGCACTAAATATATAGCGCCTACTATGCATGCGCTATACTTCAATTATTGTACCCTCGGTCTGGTTTTTTTCTTATTTAAGGAGCTCCAGAATTAGGTAAAAATTCATTCTGGATCCTTCAGGTCTTCCAAAATATTTGTTCGTTAAGTTATTTTGCATTTTGTCATAATGTCCTAAGAGCGAAAAATTAGGGTTTCATTATATTGGGGGTGAAGTTGTGGTGGAGAATAACTCAGTACGTTATACTTGTTCTCCACAGTGTCATGTTAAGTTGTCACTTACAATGGAGTACGATAGATTGGTATCGTTGTTATGTAAAAAAAAATGAGTGTGAGCAAACGTTCGGTGAATATTAAAGTAACCGAAAGATATCCATATTCAGTTACTCCGCAAGGGGTTGCTTGTTATGCTGAATTTAACATCGAAGACGATGAAACTCTGACAGATTTTTTGAGGACTCCGAATGAACACCGGGAACTTCTTGTGATAAAAATATTGGAAATGTACGTCAAGGTTGAAGACGTTCGCAATAATGAGGTTCCGCAAAATAGGGATATCCCTCAATCGTCGAGTGGTTTTTTTGTAGCAGTTTTATCCGAACAGGTTCTGGGTGAAAGAGTTTGGCCAGACCTAAACTTATCTCCACGGGCGAATACAGAGCGAGGACATAATTTCTCCCCAAGTTTACATAATCCACAAGCTGAGCGGTAAACTTCAATTTTCCTTTATGTTATGATGTTTATTTTTATGTAATGAATGTGTATTAATACTCATATATTCCACAGGGGGTACCGGCCAGATATAAATTTTACAAGTTATGAACCAACATACAGTTAGAATATGCCTAGTTTTGGTGTGTTGGATCATGGTGGTCCATTCGGGAGTCATCATCAACAGGATAATGTGCATCATGGGATATCAACACATTATGATTTGTAAGTGAAGTGATAAAGTTTATATGTAATATTTGGATAAATTTGAGAAACTCATTATTTTATTAGTTGTGCAGTGAAAACGAGCAACTTGAAGGTCCTGTCCTTACTCAATTGTCCGAAGACGACATATTTAATCGAGATCTGGCAGATGCGCAGAGTCAGGAAGATGATAGTGATTATGACAACAATGCTGACGAGTCTGGAGATGACACACCCTTCCTTGATGAGGGTGACGATGATGAGAACGGGAATGATGAACATGATTTGACGAGGGAGCATGCTCCACCTCCTGTTAGACCAAGAGTGTACGAGTCCCATGTGCCGTTTCATTCAAGGGAGATTCCCTACCTTGATCAGTTTCCAAGTATGCCGGATGTTTGTAACACCTCGGAAAATTTTGAAGTACTTAAGTGTAAAACTCAGTAAAAGTTTTGCAAAAGAAAATAATATTTCGTGGTGCCGAATTGGTTCTTACGTGTTTAAGGATTTTAGAAGGCTCGGACTTTTTGGGTTGAACAATGCACTGAGGGATAAAGGAAATTTTTTGCAGAAAAATGCATTTCTACGGTCCATTATGCGACCGCAGAATCACTCTACGGACCGCATAATGGCCGCAGAGTGAAGCAGGAGAGGGGCAATTTTGGATGCCATTCTGCGGTCGACTATGCGACTGCAGAACAAGTCTGTGGGCCGCATAGCGGCTCAAACCTTTTGGGTTGAACAATGCACTGAGGGATAAAGGAAATTTTTTGCAGAAAAATGCATTTCTACGGTCCATTATGCGACCGCAGAATCACTCTACGGACCGCATAATGGCCGCAGAGTGAAGCAGGAGAGGGGCAATTTTGGATGCCATTCTGCGGTCGACTATGCGACTGCAGAACAAGTCTGTGGGCCGCATAGCGGCTCAAACCTTTTGGGTTGAACAATGCACTGAGGGATAAAAGAAATTTTTTGGCAGAAAAATACGTTTCTACGGTCCATTATGCGACCACAGAATCACTCTGCGGACCGCATAATGGTCGCAGAGTGAGGCAGGAGAGGGGCAATTTTGGATACCATTCTGCGGTCGACTATGAGATCACAAAACTGCTCTGTGGTTCATTATGCGACCGTAGAACAAGTCTGCGGGCCGCATAGCGGTTCGTACTTTTTGGGTTGAACAATGCACTAAGGGATAAAGAAAAATTTTTGACAAAAAAATGCGTTTCTACGGTCCATTGTACGACCGCAGAATCACTCTGCGGACCGCATAATGGCCGCAGAGTGAGGCAGGAGAGTGGCAATTTTGGATGCCATTCTGTGGTCGACTATGCGACCGCAGAACTATTTTGCGTTTCATTATGCGACCGCAGAATAAGTTTGCGGGAGACATTTTGGGTTGAACAATGCACTGAGGGCTAAAGGAAATTTTTTGGCAGAAAAATACATTTCTACGGTCCATTATGCGACCGCAGAATCACTCTGCGAACCGCATAATGGCCGCAGAGTGAGGCAGGAGAGGGGCAATTTTGGATGCCATTCTGCGGTCGACTATGCGACCGCAGAACTGTTCTGCGGTTCATTATGCTACCGCAGAACAAGTCTGCGGGCTGCATTGTAACCGCAGACCCAAGCAGAGTTTTGGCTAGCTTTGGACACCAATTATGCGGCCGATATGCGGTCCGCATATCGATTATGCGATCGTATATGCGATCGCAGACCTTGTTCCGGAGTTTTATTTTTGAGTTTTTAAAACCCGACCTGTCACGACCCCAAATTTCCTCCGTAGGATGTCGTGATGATACCTAATTTCTAAGACTAGGTAAGCCTATCAATGCGGAATAATAATAAATATATGAAATAAATAAACTACAATTCAAACAATTTCAACTCCCAAAACCTGGTAGAAATAAGTCACAAGCTTCTAAGAATTTATTCTCAATGTCTCTATATATCAAGGTCTAAAGAAAAATAAGGAAGCAACATAAAAATGATAGAAGGGGACTCCGGAGCCTGCGAACGCTGACAGATATACCTCGAGGTCTCCTTGCGCAGGTAAGTCACTGACGTCTAGGCTGGTAAGATGTACTTGGATCTGCACAAAAAGATGTGCAGAAGCGTAGTATGAGTACACCACAGCGGTACCCAGTAAGTGCCAAGCCTAACCTTGGTAGAGTAGTGACGAGGTCAGGTGAGGCCCTATTGGAATATAATAATGGCATGAAAAAATGTTTAACAATATAGTAAAATAAAATGACATTGGAAATGAATCAAGTAGTGTGTCACTATTTAATTAAGCAAAATAATGGCAAATAATATCTCGTGGAAACAAAACAGAATTTTAAATAATATCTCGTGGAAAAAAATAGAATTTCCTTTCAATTTTAAGAAAATCACAACAAATAATCAAGGCAACTGCGGCCATAAATCAATATCAACAAGGGCACTCTCGAGGTACCGCCTCGTAGTTCCAAATCATAAATAAATTCACAATATCTCATTTCCTTATCTCACCGCGGGAGCCTTCACAATTTATTTGAAAGAAAATATTTTTCCCGAAATAGCATCCCATGTTTTAGCCATCCTTATCACACCGCATGACTTCTAGTAGTTCCCCCTACTAGCCACGCGTATCAAGCCGCCCTTATCTCACCGCATGTGTTTTAATACCCAGACCTTATACCACCGCATACGTATTAATATCACAATATATCATAATTTGTACCTCAAGTGCTCAAATAATGTAACTTGCCAAAATAATTCAACAACAATATTTTTTTCCAATAAAGAGCTCACGGCGCATGCCAAAATAAATCATAAATAATATTTTTTCATAATAAAGAGCTCACGGCTCCATCACAATGAGTACAAAAATCTTACAAAATATTCAAGAATAAATAATTCAGGAAAATAATATTTCAAAATCTTTAATACGTTGCTTCAATATCAAATTTAAAATGTCAAATACTTTATATTGATAATGTTTAATTTAAAGAAAATCACCCTTCAAGTAATGCACAGAATAAAAGAAATCAAGTTTCAGCTAAACAGGTATAACAATTAGCAGGAAAAGGTCAAACAAATTTAAGATATATATCTCAGATCAATGATGAACAATATAACAAGATAAAATAATTTAATAAATGCGCAACAATGATCTACACAATTTAAAAATATAATTTTTTATATTTAGCCAGTGTACACACTCGTCACCTCGTGTACACGACTTTCAATACATTTTAATAATCACATTAATATCAATTATAGGAGAAATTTCCCCCCACACAAGGTTAGACAAGTCACTTACCTCGACTTGCTCAAATTTAACCAAGTAGTTTGATTTTTTCTCGATTTTCCGATTCCGATCGACTCGTATCTAGTCATAATTAATTCGATACAGTTAACAAAAAATTATAGAATCAATTCCATAAGAAAATACTATATTTTTCAATAAAATTCGAAATTAACTCAAAAATGGTCCGTGGGGACCACGTTTCGGAATCCGGCAAACGTTATGAAATATGAACGCCCATTCAACTACAAGTCCAACCATACCATTTTTACAAAAAACCGACATCAACTTGA